TTCTTTCTTTCTGCGTGTGTGTGTGTGTGTGTGTGTGTGTTTGTGAGTGTGAGAGAGAAAGAGAGAGAGACAGAGAGAGAACCTCCAAAGGGTGTTGATGCTGCAACTCATCCCAAGCCTTCAGCCACCCCTGGGTTACAGGCAAGTGTGTGCCTGGTGTATTCAAGGAGGTCTCTGGACCAGAACCAAGAACCTTCCCAGGTAGTACTGCCTCTCAAAGCATCACATCCAACAACTGCACCACTGTCAGGCCCCAACTTCACTTTCTTCTATCAACAGATGCATCATTTAAAAACTGATTCTAGGGACCAGAAGTTGGCATAATAGCTATGTTGCTGGACTCCCATGTAGTTGACCACACTTCAAGTTCCAGACCCGGTGGCTTAAACTCACGCTGAGTGTGTGTGCGTGCATGCCCAAGATCCTGAGAGGAGAATGGAGGAGAAGGGATTGTGGCGTGACCACCTCCCCCCCAGGGGGTGATTTCTCGCTTTCTGTCTCTCTGTCTCTCTCTATCTTTCTGGTGAGTGCACACACCCTATAGCAAAAACCTCTCCTAAATGAATAAATAATAAATAAATAAATAAATAAATAAATAAGAAAAAGAAAAACAAAAACTGATTCGAAGGATCAGCAGATGGTATAATGGTTACCTCGCTGGACTCTCACATAGTTGACCATGGTTTGAGTCCCGAACTCAGTGGCTTTAAAAAAACACCCAGGGGGGGGGGTTGTGGGGCCCAGAACGTGCCCAAGATCCCAAGAGAAGAATGGAGGAGAAGGGGCTATAGCATGGTAATCCCCCCAGGGGGTGATTTCTCACTTTCTGTCCCTCTCTATCTCTCTGGCGAGCACATGCATACTATAGCAAAAATCTCCCATTAAAAAAAAAAATAGCTGATTTTGAATGTAGCTATGTTGATACCAAGTCAAGATGGGAAGAAAATTCTCAATTTTTTCCTTTATTTATAAAGATGTAAGTTAAGAAGGAAATAGGGGATAGTGGAATCTGGATAGAATAGGAAATTACATAGCCCTCCTAGAGGAATTAAGATAGAACTCAATGAAAATTCCCTTAAGACACAGTCAGGCAAACAAATCAGCTAGATAAACAGAGGCCAAGAGGAAGGGCCATTAAGAAGCGCTAACATGGTGTGTGGCATCATGCCCTGAGGGCTCAGCTTTGCCCCACAATTATTCAAGAACCTTCCACCCCACCTCCAAGGATGGTGAGCCTTGGCTGCCATCAAAGTGGGCAAATGGCAGCATCTGACCAAACAAGGTCAGCTTCTTTCAACAGGAGAAACATCGTGCTCACCTGTGGACCAAGCCCGACTCTTCACTCAGATTTGTGAGCTGGCCCCTAACTTGTTTGCCCTACCAAAGGTAAAGGGCTAGAAAAAAACATGCCCACAGTATGAAGGCTAATGCCATTTATTCTGAATATCCAAAGAAATGCATATTGTTTTCCACCCAAGCTGTTTATAAGGGATTGTAGTTACTCAATTTTAAAAAAATCTTTGATAATTTTAGCAAAAAAAGATAACTTAAAATTTAGCATTGCGGGGGGTGGGAGTGATCAAAATCCCCTTAGCACGGCATTCCCTTCTAAGCTGCCATCATGGGTATGTCTATGTCAGATCATGTTTCAGTTTGATTTGTAAGGATGTAACTTTATTTCTTTCCTTAAATCTTACATTTGGATATCTCGCATGATAAAATGGTGGGATAATAGATATTTAACCGGCTTGACTCAATATTTCTTTTTTTTTTTTGAAGAGGTTTTGGCTTGACTCAATATTTCTTTTTTTTTTGAAGAGGTTTTTGCTATAGGGTGCGTGCGCTCTCCAGACAGACAGAGAGAGACAGAGAGACAGAAAGCAAGAAATCCCCCCCCAGGGGGGATGGCCATGCCACAATCCCTTCTCCTTCATTCTCCTCTCCGGATCTTGGGCACACATGCACACACGCCTGGTGTGAGTTTAAGCCACCGGGTCCGGGACTCGAACCACGATCGACTACGTGGGAGTCCAGCGACATAGCCATTACGCTAACTGCTGGTCCCTTGACTCAATATTTCTATAATGTATAAAAAGATCAAAATGTCACATTACGTCCCATAAATAAACACAATAACTATTTGTCAATATTTTTAAAAAAATCCTTAGAGGACTCACTAAAAATTTAAAAGTAAGATTCTTGCTTTGGTTTCTAATTCTTTTAAGTTTTTTTGTTGTTGTTTTGTTTTTGTTTTTGTTTGCTATAGGATGTGTGCATTCACCAGAGAGAGCCGGGGGTGGGGGTTGGGGGAGATATTGAGAAATCACTCCCCAGGAAGGTGGCCATACTGCAATCTGTTCTCCTCTCCTCTTTTCAGGATCTTGGGCATGCATGCACACACATCTGGGGTGTTTTTAAAGCCACTGGGTCTGGGACTTGAACTGCACAGTCAGTCATATGGAATCCAGTGCCTTAATCACCAATATTCCCCCCCCCAAGTTTATTTATTTATTCCATAAGTGAGCGAGACAGAGAAAGAGAAACAGCAGCCCACGATGGAGTATTCATGCCATGATTATAAGTGAGCAAGCAGCCCACGATGGAGTATTCATGCCATGATCTACCCCAGCTTCAGCCAGCCCTGGATCATGGGTGTGCATACACCCAGCACATTCAAGAAGGTCTTCAGCTCCAAACTGGAACCTTCTCGTGTCGATCTGCCTTGTGGAGGGTTGCATTTTTCTATTGCACCACAGTCTAGCCCCATGGTTGTAACTCTTTGGTAAGTTTTTTCTTCTTCTATGAAAAGACAAAATTAATGTTTCTGCCAAACATCTCATGACTGAATCTTAGATTTAGTCATTTAAAATCATCAGGTTCTATTAATTTAGGAAATTGTTATATTTAATGTAATTAGAGTTCACAGATCATAGGCAGTTATATTTCTAAATGCTTTTGCTAGGCAGAATTGGTGACTCTGTAGTTAACTGTGATGACAGTAATGACTATGTAGGTGACCCTCCCTGGAGGTGGGGAGTTAGGGATGGGCTTTTCCACTAGAACAGGAGCTCTTTGAGGGAAAGGGCTATGCTGTACCCCTCTTTCCTTCCTGATCACAGTGCCTGGGCACACCATAAGCAAAAACAAATGACTGAATAAACACATTCCTTCAACTGAAGTGATAATCAATAGGGATGCTGAATTAACTAAGTAATGAATTGAAGATAGTTGAGAATTGTATAATGACCCTCATAATTCAGGCTGATCAATAAGAATCTGCTAATAATTGATCATTTTTGATTCAATGATAGTGATAATTTCATGTGATTTGCTCAGTTAAATGTATATACTGCTGCTCTCCAAAGAATCTTCAAGTATCTATAGTCGTTCCCCAGCATAACCCTTTAAGATGGCAGGGGAATTTTCATCAGTTTTGTTGCCCCACCCCACCCTCACGCCCAGCCCCAAATAAATTAATATTCCCAAGGCACAGAGAAATGAAATAAACAACTCTTGATGGAGTTAACATGTTCTTTCATTTAAAGAATGCTTGGCTGCCCCTGTGTGCCAGACACTGCTAGGGATGGTGGGTGGGGAAGTCATAAGGGCAGAGCCCCTGCCTTGGATTAAACAGATCTGGTGACATGATGTTACATCCAGACAAGTCACCAGGCCAGAACATGACAACAATAATAGTGATACGTTAGGGGATGTGCCATAGAAAGACACTAAAGGGTAGCTGATTCAGAGCAGGAAGAGAGCAGGCAGGAAAGCCCTCTTGGAGGAAGGAACTTCTAGGTCAGGACTTGATGGAGGGAGCAATGGGGAGACTCTGAGTGTGTGATGGCTGCAACAATGGAGGTACTGAACATAATGCCAACGTGGCTGGAGCACAGAAGCCTCAGGGAGGTAGAGAGACAAAGGCAGAGTTGTAAACAGGGTTCCACTTGAGAGGGTTCAGAACATACTTGCTCATTTATAGGTAAGGAGAAATAGTCAGTCTGGTAGAAAGAAAAGCTATTGAAAAACATGATGAAGTTTTTTGTAAAATAATATTCATGTTTTTGAAATTAAATTATGGGGACCAGCACATGGCACAGTGCTTAGGTTGCTGGGCTCCCACATGGCTGACTGTGGTTCAAGTCCCAGACCTGGCAGCTTGCAACACACTGGACATGTGTGTATGCATGCATACCCAAAATCATAAGAGGAGAATGGAGAAGTGATTGCGATATGGCCGTCCTCCTCAGGGGGTGACTTCTCGCTTTCTGTCTCTCTGTCTTTCTGGCAAGCACATGCACCTTATAGCAAAAATCTCTCTAAAAATCATTTTAAAAAGAAATTCAAGTACATGGCTTAGACTCGTGAAGTTTTATTAGTTACTTAATCCTATCCACCTCATTCTATGGAAACCAAACAGAAGCCCAGAGAAGTTAAGTAATTTGCCCAAGGTCACAAAGCTAGTTCTCCAGCACAGGAGGGAACATCCCAGATCTCCTAACTCTCCCATGCAGTACTCTTTTATGATGCAGCCTATTTCTTAATTTCTTTGAACTCTAGATCAAATTTTTTTCAAGCTCCTATCCTGTTTACTACATGTTTTTTTTGGTAGATCGAATCAATGGCATATAAACAATTACTTCCCAGAAATAGCAAGTGTTTTATAAGTGCCCAGTAATTTTCCTACTTTTGTATATGTTTGCTATTTCCTAATTCCTCTGTTAAGTTTCATATCTGGATAGAGCTGTGACAAAGGCAATAGGTTAAGGCTCAAACATCTACAGGTTTGACTTCAAAAGGCTTATTTTTAAGCATGTAGTTAAGTTGGCAAACATTAAACATGCTGTTACAGTTCGATGATTAATGCCACAGATAATAACCAAACATGTTTTATTGCATAACTGATAACATACACAATGAAGACACTAAGATACTTTGAACTATTCCACATGCCCCAAACTAAATGCCAGCATTTGTTTTTATAGTTTTTGTAATCTCACCTGCTAAGACCCTTATCTTCATAAAACCACTGAGTTCCTGAATAAATATTGTGCCACAGATTTAAATCTTCTGGGGGATTTGATGCAAGTGGTTGCTGGATTTTACGTCTCAGAAGCTCATATCTAAAGCAAAAAACAAGCAGGGACAGTGGGATTATCTCAACTAATGTTATTACCAAAATTCAGGTTGTTTTGTGGTATGTGTTTGAGTGATGCATGTACATACTCACTAAAAATAACATGTTAACTTTACAATTATAAAGTTTTTTCAGATAAACTTTTTTCTGATTCAAGTTTCATATATTCAATTGTTTTGAAACAATCAGCTACCTTCATGTTTTACTATTATCAACAAGAATGATAACATTTTAGACTTCTTTTATGTCAGATTTACCAAGTCTTTATTGCTAGTTTCACATAAAGTAGATACACAAAAGCTTTTCAAGTTAATGATTTCCTGAGACTTCTAACATCAATACTTTATAAACAGTGATAATATTCTCCACTCCATATTCTTGGCCAAGTGTCAAGTTCAGGTTGTTACAAACCTATTTCTGAATCACCACACTTTCTTTTCTTTCATTTTATCTATATTCCTGACCACATTCTTTACAAGTTTCCAGATAATAGTAATATAACAAAAAAATTGCATGTTAGCTTTAGAAATTTGAGACGTGTTTGTGCAAATGTATCATAAAGAACACATGTCAGGTTTGCCTAATGTATAATTAAAACAGATTTTGAAAATTCAGAGGATTATGTCGAGAATCTTCAGAAAATAGTGATTATTTTTTATTTATTTTTAATTCACAACATGATGGTGATGTTTGTACTTTGATGAACTTTTTGGTTCTTCATAAGTCAAGATATACAATGTGATACATGAAAGTTATGAGATAGAAATAATATCCAGTGAGGAATTAGTTCTGTTATAGAAGTAAAAACCTTTTTCCCAACTTCTTGGAAAGATAAAACCATAGCAAAACCCAATAGTACAGTCACTTTCTTTTACCTCAAGTTAGGTCCATTTGGCTTGGAGGGTGGTTGCCAAGAAATCCCAACACACGATTCACTGAGTGGAATCGCTGACAATGGGCCAACGCCCTGAGGTAGCGTGGGGTGGGTGGTGGCATGGGTAGGTAAGCTCTCCGTGCATCCTCCTAGATACCCGTTACCCCCAGAGCAAGCAACAACGGTGACAGAATAGTTGGTGAAAGGAATCAGATGAGTAATTGTGTGACTTAACGCTAAGGAAGTCACGTTGGTTATTGTCACATGAGGGTCGGGCATGCGGATCTCATAGCTAAGCATGTCTCCATTCTGCATGAGTGGGGGTTCCCAAGTGACCTAAAATAAAGGATATACTTAGCATCAGTGTGGCAGGACAGGAACAGAGCAACTGAAGTTCACAAAGCCTGGAATTCTGCACTGTCTTAGATTCAGTTAAGTCATTTTCTAAATGCCTGCTTCCTACTTAGCCTTTTGCACTAGACAGTAATGAAGGGTTTGGGATCAATTAGCAGTACACCAGGAACTAAATGAAATGCTGTTTCCTGGGTCTGGCTTTTAGTCTTGATACTTTCTAGGACTGTCAGAATAATACACACCGTAGTGATTCATCTCCACACCAGGGGTTCTGAAGGACACAGAGCAAACACATGGAGGAAATTCACACATCCACATGCATCAATAGGGCAGCCACAGGATTTGATAGTTTTCTTGTTTATAACTCAATTAAATGAAACATCAGAATCCCTTGCTTTTCATTGTTAGTGTGCATGCTAAATAAGTCACTTTTTTTCCGAGGGTGAAAGAGAAATCATTGTTCGCATTTTCTGTGGATGCACAACTGAGTTCCTGGATTTTGCTCATACAGACATGTATATAATTTAGCAAGTAAAGCAATAACATTTCCTGTTCTCAAGGAGAAGAGATGTATAGAAAACTTTTTAAAAGGCAAGCGAAGGAGGACCCTGCTCAGCTAGCACATGGGCTTGAGCATCAGAATGAAGCACATTAGTTTGTCATGGAATATCATGATGTCTAAAGTGTGTTTACTTCTCTAGCTAAATTTTGCAGGAACATAGTGGTAACACACTTATGGTCTTGTAGGGGGACAAGGACCCTGTAAAAATGTGCACAGGCCATTAAAAAATCTCTTATTTATATGCTATCTGCGTCATCTTTTTCATTATTGCCTTGTAGTGTCTCTTATATGAATACATACCTTAGGGTACAAATTTTATTTTCTAAATAGTCAGCTTTTGAGAGCTGGGCCTAAATTATATATGCATTTAGTGTCATGCTTACAGCAGTGGTATTTGGAAAGTAATTATAATCATGGCCAGTTAGATTATATGTTTTCCCTTAGAATATAGTTATTTTGAAAATTTAATAGACAGATTTCCACAAGATGATATATGGATATTTGTGTTTGTTAACTATATACAAAATCAAAGTCAAAAAGCAGGAATAGAAATATTGAAATAGAGACTGGGAACAGTAGATGGTGTAACGGTTATGTTGCTGGACTCCCACTTAGTCGACCGAGGTTCAAGTCCTGGATCTGGTGGCTTAAACTCACACCTGGTGTGTGTGTGTGTGTGTGTGTGTGTGTGTGTGTGTCTGTGCCCAAAATCCTGAAAGGAGAATGGAGGAGAATAGACTGTGGTGTGGCCATCCCTTCTGTGAGGTGATTTCTTATTTTCTATCTCTCTGGGATGTGCACATGCCCTAAAATCTCTCTTAAAAAAGAAAGAAAAAAGGAAATAGAGACTAATAAAAATTATACATATTAAAGAGGAAATGTTTTCTCCAGAAGAAAAAGCACCTGAAACTTTTACAAGAGTACTCTTATAATCACTGGTGATGAAATGGGTTTCTACCGTATGTTAGTTAGGCAGTTGTTGGATGATTGCTGAGATAATTTACAATTTAGTGATGGGCTAATATCTATCCAAATGTTATGACATGGCCTGAAATCACAATTAGTTTTATCCTTCCTGGAAAATAACTTCCAAAAAGAGATGCAGTTTAAAACGCTTTAAATCTGTCCCTTATAAGCACAGAAGGTTTGTCTGGATGCCAAAAAGATCAAAGAAACTTAAGCTAACAAAGATTATAGAACAGCCACTGGGGTCTATTGGTTTTGGAGGTACAATACTTTCGAAACATGAGTCAAGGTCAAATTCAGGGGGCTTCCTGGTATTTGTAACATAAATGAAAGAAGGAAAAGTTAACATAGTTAAATTCAACCTGACTAACCTGAGAAATAAGACTTCCTCTCAAATCAGAATATTCTGAGAATTCAGGTCCTAGTTTGGCAACCCTCGAAAGAATGAAAACGTAGGAAGTAGTCTGTGTTAGTAGTTAAGCTAACTGTGAATTGATTTGAAACTCAGTATTGAGGCTGAGAAAAGCATTCATGAGCTGAACTTGAATAAGATATCTACCAGCAGAGATTAAGAGATTCAATGTAATGACTCTGGAGACAGTCATTTGAAGATCTAAAAATCCTCTAATTTCTCTACTATAGATGTTTACATCCAAAAATTAGCCATTTTTCTCACTTTCTAAAAAGCTACTAACTTGGAAAATATGTATCTTTTGTCAGTAGTGAGTTAGAGGAAATAAATCTACTTCTGCAAAAAACTCGAAGACTATATAAAACAACCTTTAAAACAAGGTGGAGGACATTATAATTACAGTCAGTTGGCTAACATTAATGGTATCTAATCTGATAACCCTCCTGAAAATATCCTGGAGCCATTATTAAAAATAAATGTGTCCAAGATTTTTAAGGAACCAGTTAGCTAAATATTAGATGATACCCTTTCTTATGCTTAAAACCACACTTACTACAGTATGGTTAGAATGCATGAGATTAAAACTTTTGGTTAGTTTATTTCTCTTGTTTTATATATACATTTTATATAGAAGGATTATGAAATATTGTTGTATCCCCTAAACCTCAGACCACAGAGAATGTTCTTTATCTCTGATAGGCAAGAGATATGTTCTCTAAAGCAATTCCTTTATGTTAAAGTGTTTTAAAGTAGAATTATAACTTTGTTTTTGAAGACATTTTCTTTGCTATAGGACGCATGTGCTCACCAGACAGAGAGACAGAGAGACAGAAAGCGAGAAATCACCCCCCCAGCGGGGATGGCCATGCCGCAATCCCTTCTCCTTCATTCTCCTCTCGGGATTTTGGGCATGCATGCACACGCGCCCAGCGTGAGTTTTAAGCCACCGGGTCCTGGATGCGAATGGTGGTCAACTACATGGGAGTCCAGAGACATAGCCATTATGCTAACTGCTGGTCCCAGTAGAATTATAACTTCTCACAGAAAATAACTTTTATTTCAGAGATGGTTTGCCTATCATAAGATTGTCTCTTATTTGAGTATAGTTATTAAGTAGATTTTCATTTTTCTCTTTAGTTATTTTAAGTTTTCAGAAAATAGAACAGGTAGGTGGGTGGTATGGGATTTAAGGAGCCACAGTCTCTTTTTACTTATTTATTTTTTTGAGAGATTTTTGCTATAGGGTGCATGTGTTTGCTGGAAAACCAGAGAGACAGAAAGTGAGAAATCGTCCCCTGGGGGGATGGTCATGCTGCATTTCCCTCTCCTCCATTCTCTTGGCATACACATATGCCCGACATGAGTTTTAAGCCACTGAGTCTGGGACTAGGACCATGGTTGTCCATGTGGAAGTCCACCAATGTAACTATTACACCATCTGCTGGTCCCATCTTTTTTTTTTTTTTTTTTTTTTTTTTTTATTTTTTTTTGCTTAGTTTTTTTTAAGTTTTTTTGCCATAGGGTACATGTGTTTGCTGGAGAGAGACAGTGAGAACAAAAGTGAGAGGAAAACTGAGAAATCATCGCCCCAGAGAAGACCATGCTATAATCCCTTCTACTTCATTCTCCTAGGATTTTGGGCATACACACACACACACACACACACACACTCCTGGTGTGATTTTCAAGCCACCAGGTCCAAGACTTGAACTGTGGTGAACCATGTGGGAGTCCAGCACCTTAACCACCATGCCACTTGCTGGCCCCAGGAGCTACTGTCTTTTAACAACTCTTCTAGATTCCTGAAAAATGATTCTAAAAAAATCATGGCACCTTCACATCTCCCTGTTTTAAGCAAAAACAGACATGCAGGTTAGCTGACTTAAGGCCTAAAAATATGAACGCATATAAAAACTGACATACTATCTTCTTTAACTCCATCAAACTATATTTATTTAACTTTGTCAATAGGAATATTGGTGAAGATTGATATAATTGGTTGAGAATGCACTAAGAAGAAATGTTTCAGATGTTTGATCCATGCCATGTCACTAAAGCTGTACAGGGGCCATCTGGTAGTGTGGTGGTTAAGATAGTTGGATCCAACAAGGCCAACTGTATGGTTCGAATCCTGGACCCAGCTTGAGAAAAACACATGAGACACATATGGGTATATGCCCAAAATCCCAAGAGGAAAATGGAGGAGAGGAAATTGTGGTGTGGCCATCCCCCTTGGTGGTGATTTCTCTCTCTTTCTCTCCTTCTTTCTCTGTCTCTGTCTGTCTCCAAGTGAACGTGGCCTATAGCAAACTAAGGGAGAAAATGCTCTGTGACTTCGCGCAAAACATTCAACACCTCTGGATTTTTGTAACCTCGGTGTATGAGGTGAAGAGACAATCTTTGCCCTCTTATTGAGACTAAGATTACTTTTAGAATCTTAAGATTCTAAGACTACTTAAAAGAAGATACAAATGTACCATAGGGAAGGATTCTGTGGAAATATTTGACTCCTTTATAGCAATTCCTTTTTTTGTAAGTTTATTTATCCATTTCTTCCATCAGAGAAAGAAAGAGACATGTTCCACTCCTGGCCTCAGCCAACCTGGATCACAGGCACCCAGATAAGCTTTATAGCCACAACACTTACTGTGGTAAAGTTTTATCATCTTTCTGAACATAATATAAGCCAATAATATTAAAACACAAATATGGTACTTCAAACCATTTAAATACATATTATCTAGTACTGAAATTGGTCGAACATTTCTGCTGATTCTTTTCATTGATAATTTTTAATTTTCTAGTTATAAAATGAGAATTACTAAGACATGAATTTTTAAGAAACATTATTTAATGTTTAAATTTATTATTATTACTATTATTATTAATTTGTTATAGGGTGTGTGTGCTTACCAGAGAGAGACAGAGAGAAAGAGAAAGAGGGAAAATGAGAAAACAAGCCTCTAGTCTGGGACTTGAACCACAATTGGCCATGTGGTAGTAGGGTATGTTAACCATCATGCCACCTGCTAGCCCCTAAAAGATGTGAATTTTTAAAAAGTTATTACTAGTGTAATAATTTCAGAGATCTTTTTAGAGATCCTTATATTCCTGATCAGGGGATACGAGTTTCAGGGGAGTGTTCATGAGATACAATTCCCTCGTCCAGCTAGTCTACCCTTCCCTAGCAAGCTGAAATACCATGTCCGTTGTTAAATCTTAGATGATATTAGAAAATCAAAAGAAAGGAAAAAATAAAGAGAAAGCCAGGCAACTTGTTCTGGATACTTCTGATCATTGTTTAGATGTGCTAGATCAAATAGAACTGTGCATTGAGCTGTTACTCTTCTAAAAAAATATGAATTCTTTTTCAAATCTGCCACAATCAGCAGTACTTAGCTACAAAATTTTTGCTTGAAAAAAATCCAGAACAATGTCTATTATGTAGCTTTGCCTCTGTGAACGGACTGTTTGTTATGTTGCATCCTATTGATTGGTTCTGTGACCAAAGTTTTTCAAAATTCCTCCAGGATTGAAAAGAAAAGTCACTTCTCAAATAATTAATAACTTCAGGGGTGTTTTTGTTTTGTTTTGTTTTCTTTTCTTTTGCTTTGTTTGTTCATTTTTGCCTTGAATGAAGAATCATTCTGCAGGTTGCCCAATTCATAGAATAAATATCGGGTTATCAAGCGCTTAAAATGAATTTTCTTTTGGTGTTTAGCCAACAAAATTCTGCACACTTGTGCTATTTCTATCAAAAAGGGGTGTTGCTTTGATCAACCTCATAGTCAAACTAATAAAGATTTTTTGAAAATAGCTTATAGTTTGTAGGTTAAATTTTTGCAACAGTTTACACTGTTTAGCATCACCTAGTGTTTATTTATGGTGGAGAACAGCGAACACACACCATAGATCCAAGTAATAATTCCAACAGATGAACTTTTCTGTTATGCAAATGTCTTTGTTTTGTGCTCTGGTGAGCAGGCTACTGTACCAATGCTTTTGGCAGTAGTACAAGACTGAATCCATGGAAGCATGTGTGTATTTACACAAAAGAGGCTTCTCAGCTACAAAACTCCCTCCTGTTTGGTTACACTAATTTCCCTTGAATGAAGTTTGTATGCCAGCCAAAACAATGGTAGTTATCCTGTCCTCTAGAGTTCATTCCCAATAGAATGAGGTGAATAATTGAACA